GATACAAAGATTAGTGGAGTTGTGGATAGTGTAGAAGGTTGTCAAAGGATACAGCAGAATATAGATCAGTTGCAGATACGGGCAGAGGAATGGCAGACGGTGTTTAATCCGGTTGCGTGTAAGCTGCTACACTTTACAAGATCAAATGTTAAGGAAAAATATACAGTTAATGGCAGGACCCTGATTGGATCTTGGGCTTCAGTTCATAGCTCCCTGAAAGTGGCCACACAAGTAGATAGGGTGGTAAAAAGGTGTATGGCATGCTTGCCTTTATTGGTTGGTGTTGGGTTCCTAAGAAATAAGGAACAAGTCCACAATATTTTCAAATATCCGGCTTTATTTCTTCTTGTATGTCAATTACATGGTCGCCAGTTGAGAACTCTGCAGTAACAGGTTTTTTTTCATGCCTCTTATACATTTTTTTCAATTCTCCTCAAAACAGCAAATAGCGGTCAGTATCTTCTGTTAATCTATTCTGCAATATCTTCCCAATACATATCCCAAAAGGTTCATGCAAATTATTCCCCACACTCTAACCGTAAGACCTAGGCAACAGTTTGTTCGTCACTACTCTCATATTTGCTTCAAACCGATCTCCTTAGTCTCGACTGCACCTGCAAATCAGCTCGTTGCAATGGCATTTATAAATCTAACCCTTGTTATGCAGTAGCTTAATCACATAATTTTCTATATGCTCCACAATTTCCCCCTTTGATTCTTCCCAAACAGAATCACACAAGCAAAGCAAGCTAATAATAATATATAGATCACCTAGAATGTTGAAGAGCAGTTAAATACCGAACTTTAAGCTTTAGCAATTGCCGAATACAACATTCAAGCAACATACACTTATTCTGTATTTCTTGTTTAAGATGTATACAAAGAAGTATTTACATTGAGTCCACATTTTACGATAAGTCCTCCCTTTTTGGTGCAGGGGATTGGTAAGTCACTAGTAAGCAAACACTCAAGGTGCGCTGTTAGTAATACAATCAACTTCTCCATCTTGACCTATTGTAACGATTCTTATCAAGCTTCAAGTTCAGTCACTGGTTGCTTATTAACATCATACGTGGACTCAAAATTCCCTAGTTCTCTTCATCTGTATCTATCTTGAGAATACTTCTTCAATATTTTTCCTTTGCCAATTTTATGAATGATTGTGTCATTGAGTGGCAACTACTTCCATTTGCAAATACCCCCTCAGGATTGCAATGTACTTGGTATCAAACAATACAGCTCTGACAGATTATAGTGTGTTCATCAGTCTTTACCTTCAGCTTATGCTTCCCCCCTTTTTTATTCAAGGTATCTGTATGTCATCATTTTTGGGCCCTTTCACTTCAGCTCACTGTCACTGTTTCAAAGTCAGTTTCTCGATAGAGTATGTGTCAGTGTCTTATTGTTTAGACTATGCTTTTGTGCTCTTCCAAGCCACACTAATCCATTTGTCGAGTAGGTGTACGTGTCTGGGACCTGTTCTTCAGTGCAGTTTTTTTTTATCAAGCATTCCCTCATGTTTATTACTTCCAAGGTAACAATCACTTTTGTACACTTACATCGGTATCTCAAGACAATGTCATGTATTCGTGATTCTCGTATGATCTTATCAAAAGATCTATGAGATTTTACTTATCTGTCCACTTATAGTCCCAATGCCTCTGGTACTGGCTTGATCATCAAATTCAAATCTCTTGAAAGGAAGGATAAGGACACAAACATCACCAAGAGAAAATTATCAGTTTCGTACTGTCACTTAACATGCATTTTAGCGAAAAGGAAGGTTAACTTCAACTGCCATTTCAATCCATTGTTCATTTTTTTCTAAATCTTCTGCCACTACTTTCCATGCCTAATTACTTCATCTCATCCAATTATGCAATATAACTATTACCACCTGTCTAATTCCAGAGGTCTGGAAAAATATGTAGTCATGGAAATCCTCTTATAATATTTTAAAACAGAAGTCCAACATTTGTTTGATTCAGACAAAACATACTTTGTTCATTCTGTGTCTAAGATGACCTGCATTTTTTAAAGTTACTTTATAACTTATCCTAGATATTTGATATATATCTATATAAATTTGTTCAAATTCAAAATACTGTTTACTCCCTCAAAGGGAGTAAATTCTTGATACCCAATACTTTTAATGTTTTCACAGTAGCTTTCCAATGCTGACATATTTTGTTAATGAATGGCTTGATGGGTTGAGGATTCTTCATCTATCACTATTGCAATGCTGAAAATCTGCAGACAAGTTCAGAAGTAAAGTTTTCAGTATCTTTCAGTCACTGAAAAATAAAAAAAAACCCATCCATTCCATTTCAAGCAGAATGGGTTGATTAGTGGTTCAAGGGGTGGAGTGAAAACTTCTGGACATAATTATGTTGACCGTCTCTCTTCCTCCTATACAGAAATAAGTGTGTTATAATTGACAAAGGAAAAGCCCACCTCCTTTGTTAGATTGCACTGCCCCTTTTTTTTAAAAGAAAAGCTTTCAGTTTCATCAGAATTTTCTTCAAAGAGAATTGCATTTCCAAAATTACAACTTCCTATTATTTGGATACTTTCACACCAAAGTACATTTACAATGAGCAAATCTTATCATCCAGAATTAAAGATTCATTCGTGCTAAAACAATATTTGGAAGTTCACTCTGGCCAAAATATGAAATTCCAAACATGATAGTTTCCCATTTCAAGTGATAAATGTTTGCCAAGCATTATGAAGCAATTTTTAAATCAGCATTTTGTCACAGATTTTTCCTTTACACAACCATTGAGTTCCTTAAAAGGACATTACATTAACCGAACGTTCCACACTGATAAATTCAAAGCATTCCCAGATCTCAAGCTCCAAAGATCAAAACACAAATATTACACAATTTTTAACAACCAACGAACAAAGGTGTATTCAGACCAGACCACAATCTCCTTAGCCTCTAGTGCACCCATAAATCAGCTCTTTGCAATAGCATTTGTAAATCTAACCCTTGTTGTGCTGTAGCTTAATCACATAATTTTCAATGTACTCCACAGTCAAGGAATTGAGTACAAGAGGCAGGCTGTCATGTTGCAGCTTTATAAGACTTTGGTTAGGCCACACTTAAAGTATTGCATTCAATTCTGGTTACCTCATTACAGGAAGAATGAAATGAGGATGCAGAAGAAGTTTACCAGGATGCTGCCTGGATTAGAGGTTAAGGGAGAGGCTAGAAAAACTCTGGTTGTAAAGGGTTGACACTCAGAATCTTTTTTCCAGGGTTGAAGTATCTAATACTAGTGGGGATAATAAGACCATAAGACATAGGAGCAGAAATTAGGCCATTCGGCCCATCGAGTCTGCTCCACCATTCAATCATGGCTGATAAGTTCCTCAACCCCATTCTCCCGCTGTCTCCCCGTAACCCTTGATCCCCTTGATAATCAAGAACCTATCTATCTCAGTCTTAAATGTACTCAATGACCTGGCCTCCACAGCCTTCTGTGGCAGTGAATTCCATAGATTCACCACTCTCTGGCTGAAGAAGTTTCTCCTTATCTCCATTCTAAAAGGTCTTCCCTTTACTCTAAGGTTGTGCCCTCGGGTCCTAGTCTCTCCTACCAATGGAAGCACCTTCCAAACATCCACTCCGTCCAGGCCAGTCAGTATTCTGAAAGTTTCAATTAGATTTCCCGCCCTCCCCGCTCATCCTTCTAAACTCCAATGAGTATAGTCCCAGAGTCCTCAAACGTTCCTCATATGTTAAGCTTTCCATCCCTGGGACCATTCTCGTGAACCTTCTCTGAACCCGCTGCAGGGCCAGTACATCCTTCCTGAGATATGGGGCCCAAAACTGCACACAATACTCCAAATGTGGCCTGACCAGAGCCTTATAAAGCCTCAGTAGTACATCCCTGCTTTTATATTCAAGTCCTCTCAAAATAAATGCCGACATTGCATTTGCCTTCCTAACTACTGACTCAACCTGCAAGTTTACCTTGAGAAAATCCTGGACTAGAACTCCCAAGTTTCTTTGCACTTCAGACTACTGAATTTTCTCCCCATTTAGAAAATAGTCCATGCTTTTATTCCTCTTACCAAAGTGCATGACCTCACACTTTCCCACATTGTACTCCATCTGCCACTTCTTTGCCCACTCTCCTAACCTGTCCAAATCCTTCTACAGCCTCACCACTTCCTCAATACTCCCTGTCTCTCCACCTATCTTTATATCGTCTGCAAATATGCATTTAAGGTGAGAGGGAGAAAATTCAAAGGAGATGTGAGGGACAGGTTTTTTATAGAAAGAATGGTGGGAGTCTGGAATGTGCTGCTGGGGTGATGATGGAAGCTGAAATGTTTAAGGAACTTTAGATAAGCACATGAATATGCAAAGAATGGAGGGATGTGGACCAACAGCAGGCAGAAGGGATTACTTTAATTTGGTATCATGTATGGCACAACATCGTGGGCCAAAGGTCCTGTTCCTGTGCTATATTGTTCTTTGTTTAACTACTACTCATATGCTACTGGTTTGAAATCCAAACTCTTAAAAATGATGTTAAAATCGCACCTCTTTTATCACAGTGTTTACTTTAGCACTGTGTTACTAAATAAATGTGTATTTTTCCTTCTTCCTTTTCAGACTAAGTTCTTGCCATTCGCCTCCACACAGCTTTCATCTTCTCAAGTAGTTGATTAGGCTCCTTGAGGATCTGCTACTGTCCATGAGGAGTTGAATTTAATTTTCTGTCCATCTGATATCTGTTTTCCTCATGACACTTCATGTAACCAGATTTTGGAAGAAATTATTTCTTTGCACAATCTTGCCTATCCTTGAAGATGTAGTCATGACATGTGTAAGGGCTTATTATTCAAAAACTTCTATAAGATAACATAATGATATTCTATTAAAGAAATAAAGCTGTTAATTTGATCAAGACAAGTAACTTTGATCTTGCATTGTTTATTCACTTAAAAATTAATCATCAATATTTTCAATTTCCTCTTTTTAGAGAGTGATTTAAGAGGGTGTGAATATGAAGCAGAGACAGAAGAGAAGAAAATATGGCGTCCTGGTGATTTGCTATATTATGGGAGAGCAGAGCTGAAAGCCTCTGATCATAAGTATGTGATTATGATTGATACTGTATTGTGGATGTCAGGATAGTGTAGGAAGAATTGCAATTAGCAGATTTATTTAGTGATAATCTCTCATTCACTAAAATGAATCTTTTGCGAGTATTTTTTGCATTTTTTATTTTAAATCATTCAGAGAAGCTTGAGAAGTCAGTATAAATTACAGTATGATTTATTGCTTTTGTTTTTAGCTTTCTTCAGTGCTAATGAATGTGGGTAGATCTGGCTATATGTCAGAATCCAGTGGAGTTGATATTCTACTGAATACTGAAAGGATAAAAGTTGACAAAACTGTCAGTGTATCAAAAGATGGAGCATTCTGAAACTCCTCTGCCCGTTTCAGTCAGGACCTTTTCATATTCAGCCACTTTTCCCCACATTGGATTAAAAGAATCAATTTTGCTGCCATCTCTTGCTCAATGTGGTATTGCTTGGTGTTCTTAGACGTTCCCTTGAGACAGAGGATGACCTTCTTCCATTAGTTGAGTCATGAGGCGACTAACTTAAATGACACAGGTTGGGGCTAAATCCACACAATCATTGCTGATAGAGGTTAACTGGGTGCGAACTTTGACTGAACAGCAACATCTTAGAGACACTGTGAAGCCAGGCGGGGTCCAGATCAGCATTACTTGATGGTGTGGACTGCAATGGCTGGAATTTGGCAATGTGGATATCAGCAAATTGATCTCACTCCACACCATCAAGGCAACAATGGGAAATGCTGGCTTCCTGTGAGAGAAAAGAAGGGTCTTCAAAGTCTTTGAGTAGTGAAACTGAATAGCTTCAATCATCTGCAGGTGAGAGACTACTGCATGTAGCGAGCCACCTGAAAGTGGGCTTTCACTACTTAACAGATGATTTCCAATTTCTCAGACCTCAGTGAGCTGCACAGCCCTGCTAGTGAGGTCTTGTGATGCAGTGGCAAGCGTCGTGTCTCTGGCCCAGAGTCTGAGTTCAAGTCCCACCTCAGGACTTGATGGCCATGAAAGGTATCCCATAATGTGGCCAATAAATTTTCTGATACACTTACAGCAGGCATTAAAATTGTAAGACCTTGTCAGTTGGAACAGTATAGCAGCTTCAGGATAACAGCCTTCCCACATTAAAAGATTCTACATGCAGGTTCTTGCCATTAGCAGGCACCATCCTTGTTCCAAGGAACAATGATGCAAAGTGTGAGACAATAAGTTTTATTATATAGTTATGTTAAAAATGATGTACATGTACTTAATTTCCTGTTACTGTATCACATTTTGCGCCATGTACCTTTGCTGAAATTTGGCATAAAATAGAATCCTCACAATGTGGGGATTTATTGTTTCAAATGCCAGTTATAATGGTAATTCCATTTGAAAACAGATTTGGGTGATACTGTTATTGCACATGGCAGTCTTTAGGTGGCAGTGTAGCTCTACTAGATCCTCTGACACATTCTGCTAATAGACAGTGTAAAATGCGACATATGTTACTTAAGAGTCATAAGAGTTATACAGCACAGAAACAGACCCTTCGGTTTAACTCGTCCACACCAACCAGGCATCCTAAACTGATTGAGTCCACTTTGCCAGCATTGCTCAATTTTGCTCCGAACGAGGCCTTTTAAATGTTGTAATTGTATCCACCTCCATCACCACCTTTGGCAGCTCACTCCATACACGCACCACCCTCTGCATGGAAAATATTGCCCCTCGGGTCCCTTTTAAATTTTTCCCTTCTCACCTTAAACCTAGGCCCTCTAGTTTTGGACTTGCCTACCCTGGGAAAAAAACCTTGGCTATTCACTCTACCCATATCCCTCATGATGTTATAAATCTCTAACGTCACCCCTCAACCTCCAATGCTACAGGGAAAATAGCCCCAGCCTATTCAGCCTCTCCCTATTGCTTAAACCCTCCATTCCCAACCACATCCTCGTAAACCTTTTCTGAACCCTTTCAAGTTTAATGACACCTTTCCTATAGCAGGGAGCCCAGAATTAAATGCAATATTCTAATAGTGGCTGCACCAATATCCTGTACAGCTGCAACATGATGTCACAACTCCTGTACTCAATGTACTGACCAATGAAGGCAAACATGAGAAATGCCTTCTTCACCACCCTGTCGACTTTCGACTTCACTTTCCAAGAACTATGCATCTGCACCCCTAGGTCTCTTTGTTCAGCATCAGTCCCTAGAGCCCTACCATTCACTGTATAAGTTCTATCCTGGTTTGCGTTAAAAAATGCAACACCTCCCATTTATCTAATTTAAATTAAATTGAGGCTGCTTTTTGAAAGTGTAGAAAGCATCTCTTTGCAATGTAGATATCATGCAACAGCACTGTATGCTTAGCATAACGCACAAAAGCACATTAGTCATACATTCAATCATCAGTCCCATATATAAATTTCACTTTGATGTACATTTTTACCTCACCATTTTATCTGACAATTTTGCCTACCAAATTATAACTCACGGAAACATCTGGTACTTGATAACATTGTACACAAATTTTGCTTGACTTCAAGCGTTGTAGGCTGATTGTGACATGAAAGTTTATTGGTGTGTACTAAAGATGAAGGGTTAGATCTTTGCTGAATTGTGTTGACTAAGGGGATCTTTAAAAAAAACAGGGGTCTGGGCTGGGATCTGATTCTGGGATTCCTGAACCTCATTCTTTTTATTTGATCATGGAATATGGACTTTGCTGGCTAAGTCAGCCGGTTGCCCATCCCTAATTGCCCTTTAGAAGGTGGCAGTTATGTTTTCTGCTGCAGCTATGAATGTAGGGATACACATAGCGCTGAAATTCCAGGACTTTGATCCATTGAAAATGACACAACCATGGTAAAGCTCCAACTTGGGATAATGAGAGACTTGGAGAGGAACTTTCAGCTCGTGGTACTCAAATGCATCTACTCCCCTTGCCCTCCCAATTCGTGGAGATTACAGGTTTGGAAGAGGGTTAGTAAATTCCTGCAATCTGCCTTGTTGATGATACACACTGCTGCCAATGTGCATCAATTGTGGAAGGAAGGAATGTTTAAGTTGGTAGATGGAGTGCTAATCCAATGGCTGCATTATCCTAAGACCATAAGGAATAGGAACAGGTATAGGCCGTTTGGCCCCTTGAGCCTGCTCTGCCATTATGTAGGATCATGGTTGATCTGGCAGCCCTCATGTCCACTTTCCTGCATTTTCTGTGTAATCCTTGATTCCCCTACTGATCAAGAATCTACAAGTCGTTCTGCTATAAAGCATATTTCATTAACGTGAATTGGCTATAATGTGATTGAATAGTGGATGCTGTTTGGATAACGTAAACTTTCTGCTGGGCAGGTATAACGATTTTCCTATAATGTGATTTTCTATAGCACGAGGTCATGCAAGAACACAACTGCCACATTATAGGAGAACTACTTGTATCTATCTCAGCCTTAAATATATACAAGGACACTGGCCTCACAGCTCTCTCTTTGGTAAATTGTTCCAAAGACACTTAACCTTCTGAGAGAAGACATTCCTCCTGAACTCAGTCTTAAATTAGCACCCCTTATCCTGAGACTTTGCCCCTTCATTCTAGACTGTCTCCCATAAAGGGAAACATCCTCTCTGCATTTACCTTATCAAGTCCCTTAGAGTTTTATGTTCAATGAGATTACCTCTCATTCTTCTAAATTCCAATGAGTAGAGTCGAAACCTGTTTAACCTTTACTCATGAGGCAATCCCTCAATACCGAGGATCGTTATAGTGAACCTTCTCTGAAGTGTGTCCAATGAAATAATATCTTTCCTTAAATAGGGACTAAAACTGCTCTCAGTACACCAGATGTGGTCTCACCAGCACCTTGTGCATTGCACTAAGACTTCCCTACAATTATACTCCAAACCTTTAGAAATAAGGGCCACCGTTCCATTAGCCTTCCTGATTACCTGTTGCACCTGTGTTCTAGCTTTCTGTGTTTTGGTCACAAGTACCCAAATCCCAAGCCCCTAGTCCCTTTGTGTTGCAGCGTTCTGTAGCTTTTCTTCATTTAGATAATACTGTGGTCTTTTGTTTTCCATTCTAAAATGACCTTCATGTTTTTCCACATTATATTCCTTATGTCCACTTATTTAACCTATCAATATTCCTCTGGAAACTGTATCCCTCTTACAACTTGCCTTTCCACCTTATTTTTGTCATTGAACTTCCTGAATGTTATTGGTGCTGTACTCATCCAGGCAAGTGAGGAGTATTTCATCAAACTCTTGACATGTCTTGTAGATGGTGAACAGGGTTCGGGGGTGGGGGTGCAGGGGTTGGGGGTGTCGGTTGGATTTTCTCTGTCAACAGAATTAACTGAATAAATAATATGACTATGACACCCATTCAATAAAATAATGGTGTAACTTATTTTCAACATTTTGAATCTCTGTAATGAGGCTGTGATTTTTAAAGTGCAGAAACCATTTTGAACGATATTTAAATTTCCACTGTTATTGTTTACATAACTGTTAATATGTCCATAACAGTTATAATGTTGATGTTCCAGCCTGCGTACTTATACATTTTTCCTTTCCAAAATTCAAATATAGGCCCGTGTTAGCTGTCTTTGAAGTGAATATTTGGGAAGTGGATATTTTTGCACGTGAACAAGTATTCCAGGAAATTACGTCTTCCCAGGGGCCATTAGATGCGACAGTCATGATATGCCTTAAAGGACCAACCAGTGGAGAAAGGGAGCCCTTTTCAGATGACCTAAGCAATGAAGTAATTAATTGGTTCCAGAGTTATGGCAATATTTTGTTGGTGAGGTAAGAGCTGATTGCCAATAATAAACAGCCCTGCGAACAGTGGTTTGATTGACCAGACTTTTATCTTTGTCTTTTATCAAAATGAAAAGAGTTTGGACAAAACTGATAATTATTGATTGTTAAAGCATTACAAATGGGAAACTATCTCTGACTATTGAATACCTCAATCAAATGTGAGCAGCATTTCTAATAAAGTCTACAAATGTTGGAAATACTCAGCAGTTGTGATAGCATTAATGGAAAGAGAAGCAGAACTCAGAACATTATTGACATGGCAGAAGCCTAAATGATGGCCTAGAAAGCTGTGGGCAACCATGGCTTTTTGTAGGCAGTAACCATCCTTGTTTGGGCCAAGGACCTTTGAAAAAGGCTGGCACTGATGAGTAGCCCAGGATGTAAGCATCATGGCAGCTCCCAGGACAACAAGCACAGACTGGCTGTTTTAGTCCTAAATTAGGAGGATGGGATCTCTTTCTATGTTAAAGACTGTTGGTTCATGATAGGGCACTGTAACTGTTGTGTGTCAAATAATGCCTGACTCCTTGTATTTAGGGAAAAAGAAATGTCTATCATATGGCAGAAGTTAACTGTGAAGGCAAAGATAATTCTGATGAATTATGCAGTTAATGAGATCAGGAACATGGATACTAAGCTTTCACCAGATGACAGAGAGATGCTGATTGATAATTGTAATAATATGTCAATGGTAAAAAGCTGATTTTTGGATTCTTACATTCGACATTATTCTTGCTGTCTCTGGGAGCAGAAAATCACACTTCATGGTTTGAATTAGGAAAAATTGTTACAGAGATCTTTTATAAGCTCTAGACAGTTAACATGATTTGATTAAAGTTTGCAAAACATAAAGGGAGAGATTAACTATTTCCACTGGTTGGGGAGTCTAGGATTCGGGTTCAGAGTTAAAAATTAGAGATAATCTTTCAGGAATCAAAAGTTGTAAACACTTCTGCACAGAAAAGGCAAGAGAAGGTTGGAACTCTCTTCTATACATGGTAATTAATACTAGATCAATTATTAATTTTAAATAAGATTTTTAGATTGTTGCCAGCTAGAAGTTAAGAATATGGGGAAAGAGGTATAGATCAGACATGATTTCATTGACAAGCTGAAGAGGCTGGAGAGGCACAGTAGCCCACTCCTTTTCCCATATTCTTAGGCCTCACTCATGAATTCCTATTGACAGGAATTGAAATTCTGAACCTTGTTTTAGTTTTAAATGTGTCAATTGCAACATAGTTCCATGACATACTTAATTTAAATGTTGTATGTCCAACTTGTAAGAAAATGCAAAGACGTACTACACCCCCAACCCCTGCACCCCCACCCCCGAACCCTGTTCACCATCTACAAGACATGTCAAGAGTTTGATGAAATACTCCTCACTTGCCTGGATGAGTACAGCACCAATAACATTCAGGAAGTTCAATGACAAAAATAAGGTGGAAAGGCAAGTTGTAAGAGGGATACAGTTTCCAGAGGAATATTGATAGGTTAAATAAGTGGACATAAGGAATATAATGTGGAAAAACATGAAGCATTGCTTTGATGCATTGCTGTATATCACGATGAAGTAGCCAAATCACAAGAAATAGAAGCTGGAACAGACTATATTGCCCATTGAGCCTATTCCAGTATTTATTACAGTTGTTGGTGATTTTGCCCTTCCACTCCACTTTCCTAGCCACTCCCATACCCTTTGATTCCCTGAGAGACTGAAAAGAAAAATCTATACCAGCCTTAAATATATTCAATGTTGGAGCATTCCCAACCGTCTGACACAGACAGTTCTAAAGATTTGCAATCTGTTAAATGAAGTAATTTCTCCTCATCACAGCCTTTGTCATGAAACTGTGTCCCCATATTTTAGATTCTCCAGCCAGAAAAAACTCTCTCTCAGCATCTACTTTAATCAAGCCTACCCTGATGGGACGTGATTTTCTCGCCTTTGTTTTGCTAAAGGATGCTAGCCATGATGGGACAATAATTCTGTTACTATATTCCTGTTAGATTTGATCACGGACAGATGCTGGTAACTTTTCAGGATAGTCGGATGGCTCTGAAAGTTTTGGATCTAGATGGAAAAATGGTAAGTTTGATTCAATGCAAAATGGTCTCCATTTTGTGCCCTAGCATGTTAAATTAAAATGCTGTCAGTCATTTTAATATAGAAACAACCGAACTTAAGAACATTCTTTGTATGTGTCTCTAAGAAAAGCAAATTGCCACAATAAATTAAGCTATTACTTTATCATCTATTCTGGAATTTTTAAAATGAAATGTGCAGGTACTTAGTAATTAATTTGATCAAAGTATAATATAACAATTTTATTGTTTTGAGAGTACATTGAATAAGCCATAGGAGCAATGTTAACTGCCACCATTCAATTGATGTGGTTGAGTAATGCCATTAAAATCAAGGTTTAGAACTTACTGACTTCTTAGTACTTGTTTCCTGCCTTTTGCTATTTTAACAGAGTTTTCTTAAGTAGTCACAGCTGCTGGCCGAAGCAAGCAGTAATCTGATTGTTGTATTTAAGTAGCATTAATCAGCAACCCTAACCAATGTAGTATGAAAAAAAATTGTGCTGCATTGATCTACCGAGTAAAACCTAATGGAATGGTTTTGAAAACAAAGGGACTAAGAGACCACAAAATTCCCTGGACCTAATATTCTGAACCTTGGAGTTTAAAAGAGGTAGCTACAAAGATAGCAGATGCAGTAGTTTGATCATCCAGAATTCCTCAAGTTTATTGGAAGGATTGCAGAATAGTAGTCATAATCCCACTATTTGCAGGAGGTGATGGCATTGTGTTAATTCCACTGGACTTGTCATCCAGAGACTAATGTACTTGTTCTGGGAGTTGGTTTCTCCATGGCAGGTGGTGAAATTTGAATTCAATGAAATCTGGATTTTAAAGCTAATCTAATTGTGGCCATGTAACCATTGTCAGTTGTTGTAAGAAAACAAATCTGAAACATAATGTCCTTCAGGGAAGGAGATCTGTCAGGCCTGCATGTAGTTGACTCTCTTAAATGCTCTCTGAGTGGCTTGCTAGAATATTTCAATGCAAGGGCAGTTAGAGATGGGCAATAAATGCTGACCCTACCAGTGACACCCACATTGCATACAAGAATAAGGAAAAAATTAGGAAAAGAGGAAGTAGGGAAACTAGAACCATATGCTAGGGTTAACATAACATCAGTAGCAGTAAATGCTGGAATCCATTATTAGACACATGGCTACGGGAAACTTAGAAAATCACAAATCCATTTAACTATGTTCAATTATATTATGGAACAGAAATCATACTTAAGAAATGTTTTGAGGATGTTTCTAGTAGGATGGATAAGGGGAAACCAGTAGATCTAGTCAGTGTATATGTATTTTCAAAAGTAATTTGATAAAGTAGGAAAAACAATGATTTGGGTTAATATATAGAGATGGATTGAATGGATAGAGAGTGAAAAACAGGAATAAATTGGATATTTTCAGGTTGCAACTACTGAGGTTTCTCAAGGATCAGTAATTGAACCTCAGCCTTTTACGATCTATATTAACTTAGCTGAAGAGGCTGGCTGTAAAATATCTAAGTTTGATGAGGGTTCAAGGCTAAATGGGAATGTAAGAAGTGAGGACAATATAACGATACTGCAGAGGGATATAAACAGATTTAGTAAATGAGCAGATGGTAATAAATATAGTGAAATGTAAAGTTATCCACTTTGATAGGAAAAGCAAAAACACAATATTTATGGTGTAAAATTGGGAAACGTTTGCCTTCAAATGCTTCTAGGTGCCCTTTTACATGACTTACAGGAAATTAACAGGTAGTGACAGTAGTCAGTTCGGAAGGGTAATGTTAGGTTAGCTTTTGTCAAAAAGGGAATATAAAAGTAAGAAAGCCTTACTACACTTGTGCAGTATGACCTTGCCTGGTGATGGAACTGCCCTATGTGAATAGATTCAGCAGACTAGCCCTGTTATCATCTAATTTGGTCTGAAGGGATGCCCAGGACCTAATGGAGCAACAAAAAGGTGATGGATATATTAGTTAGGGGTTAGTTTGGTGCAAAATGGTTCTACAAATATGGGGAGGTAGTAATCAGTAGGAGAGTTTTATGGAGCACGGTTAACTGAAATAAAGGTCTTGCTAAAAGAACTGTATTTAAATAGTTATCCTTTTGTGTATAACTGGGCATCCAAAAAGTTGATATGAGAAGAAACAGAATGAGCATAAACTAGTTAGGCATAGGAGGAGCTAGCTAATTGAATATAAAATTGGCTTGAAGGTAGGAGACCATGTGGTGGTAGGGCATTGCTTTCCAGACTGGAGGCCTGTGATCACTGGTGTGCCACGAGCTTCAATGCTAAGCATGTAGTGATTGTGATGACGTCAGCCAGGTGGACCTCAACGAATAGGAGTTTCCTGATTTAGAACGATAGAATCCCTGCAGTGTGGAAGGAGGCCATTTATCCCATCGAGTCCATATCGACGCTTAAAGAGCATCCAATGGAAGCTGGGTCAGATGGGCCAAAGGGCCGAGGAGTCGCAGATGGAGTTTATTTTGGATGAATGTGAAGGGTTGCATTTTGGTAGGGCAAACCAGGGCAGAACTTCTGTGGCTAATGGTAAGGCCCTGTGGAGCATTCCTGAACAAAAAGACCTGGGGATGCAGGTGCATAGTTCCTTGAAACTAGAGTCACACATAGACAGAGTAGTGAAGAAGGCATTTGGAATGCTTCCTTTTATTGGTCAGAACATTGATTGTAAGAGCTGGGACATCATGTTGCAGCTGTAGAGAACTTGGGTGAGGTCACTTCTAGAATACTGTGTATAATTCTGGATGCCCTTCAGTAGGAAGGAGGTTGTTAAACTTAAGAGGGTGAAGAAAAGATTTACAAGGAAAATGCCGGGACTAGAACGTTTGAGTTATAAGGAGAGGCTGAATAGGCTGGGGCTTTTTTCCCTGGAGCGTTAGAGGCTGAGGTGTGAACTTAGAGGCTTATAAAATCATGAGGGGCATGGAGAAAGTGAATAGCCAAAGTCTTTTTTCCAGGATGGAAAAGTCCAAAACTAGAGGGCATAAGTTTAAGGTGAGTGAGGAAAGAGTTAAACAGGCCTAAGGGATAACATTTTAACAGTGGTGTGTGTATGGAACGAGCTGCTAGAGGAAGTGGTGGAGGCGGGTACAATTACAACATTTAAAAGAAATCTGGATGGGTATATGAACATGAAGGTTTTAAGAGGGAGGCGGGCCAAATGCTGGCAAATGAGACTAGGTCAGATTGGGATGTTTGGGTGGCGTGGACGAATTGGACCAAAAGATCTGTTTCCATGCTGTATGACTCTGACTCTATAAAACCCAATCATAAAAGCTTTTTCTAAGTGAATAAAAAGGAAGGGAATAGCCAAAATAAATATTGATCCCTTGGAGGCAGGAGAAGTTATTATTCGGGATGTGGAAATGAAGAGATAGTGAACAAATATTTTGTCTGTCTTCACAGTAGAAAACAATTTAAGTGCCACAATAGGAGTCGATCTAGGAGCTATTAAGAGTGAGAAAATTAACGGAATTCAAATCAGCAGAGAAAATACCCTGTAGAAACTAGAGGTCTGAAATCAGACAAATCTCCATGACCAAATGACCTCCTTTCTACAATTCTAACAGAGAGATCTGCAGGATAAGTTGAAGTGTTGGCTGAACTTGTCCAAAATTTCGTAGATTCTGGAACAGGCCAGCAGTTTGGAAGTTAACAAATATTATACCACCGTTTAAGATAGTAAGGAGAGAGAAAATAATGAATGACAAGCCTGACATGACCCGTAGGGAAAGTGTGGGAATCTGTTTTTGAGAAATTCTTCACAATTCACTTAGAAAAGCTTGGTGTGATTAAAGCAAGTCAACAGTGCTCCAAAATAATTTGAAAGTAAGGTTGGAGGGACAAGGGAGAGGCAGTTTACCTTTTTTAATAAACAGATTTGAAGAAAATATTTGTACAAACTTTGACATGCAATAAAGTGCATGTTTTACATTGACATTTTTCCTAATGTAAAGATTTGGAGAAGTCGTAGAGGAGATTTCCTGGAAGGGCACCAGGATGGAGGGGTTTCAGTCATGTTGAGATTTAAGCTGAAGCAGTTTAAAGAGTGATTTTTTGGAGGTTTTAACATATTGAGAAGTTTATATAGAGAAGGTAAGGACAAACTGTTTCTGCTTAACAGGAGGGTTGGAAAGTAGAGGAAAAAGGTGTCAGACAATCAACAAATAAACCAGAGAAGAGATCAAATTTGTTTAGTTGATGTTTTGGTACAGATTGATATGTATTAAAAGGAAGGTAGAAACAAATTTTATGCAATTATTTATTTGTACTGTCCAATCAATTTAAAATTATAATTTAACACCTTCAAGGTTAATGGCAGAGTGGTGTGTGTAAAACCCCGAACGAGAAACTGGCTCAATAATCTACATGAAGAAATTAATATGAACAGAAACAGTATTGCACCGATGTCTCCGACTGCAAATTCTTGCCTGCTTGAAGAAACTTTTGATTTTAACAGTCTGGATTATGACACAGAAGGTAATTCATATGCCTCATAGGCAAAATCACTATCAAATGATACAAAAAAAAATTCAGTGGTACATGGATGTTGACGTGCCAGAATGCCAGGTGCTGCAGTGTAAGTTTCTGCACAATGAGTTCAGAACTTCAGCTGTGCAGTTAGTAAATGTTGAGTAGAAAGTAGATTATGCTGAACAATTGAACACAGTCAAAGCATCTGATTCACAACAATCACCTCAATAACAGTTTTAACTTGTGCCATCTTAACAAACTGCCAGTGATACTTGGTTAGAGACAAAAAACTGCAGGTGCTGGAATCCAAGGGAGACGGACAGGAGGCTGAGAGAACACAGCAGGCCAGACAGCATCTGGTGGAAAGGAGCTGTCAACATCTTGGGTATTACCCTTCTTCAGGACTGGCCCTCAGGCCCTGAAGAAGGGTAATACATGAAACGTTGACAGCTCCTTTCCTCCAGATGCTGCCTGGCCTGCTGCATTCTTCCAGCCTCCTGTTTGTCTGCCGGTAATACAGCTTGCTTCATTTGTTTAACGCCTTTGAGGTTATTGTTCTATTGATGTATTTTCTACCAACTTTCTAGAAATAGTTAACATTCCCAAGACACAATTGTAATCATAATCTCGTTGCTGTTTCCAGGTTAATACCTTTTTGTTTACTTCACAAATCTAAACCCAAAACTACTTCTTAGTCAACTACGTAGCAATTGATCATATTTTTCTGGAAGGAGGACTCCTTGGTGGTAGAATAATTAGTATTGTACTTCTTCCATCAACGATCTCTCCACTAAATTGTAAGTACAAGCATTTGTAGAATAGCTAGCTGCATAAGAACTATATCCAGATTTTAACAGTGCCCTCACCTATACTATTGAAAGTGGTGAGGAAAATGTGCCATGTGACCTGCCTGCTGACTACTCATTCATCCCAACATGTCTTCCATTTTACAAAGGGTTTAGTAACCAATTAAAAGCGTCATTTCATCCCTTCACTGATACAACAAAGGTTGATGGTGGACAGCCTAACAACTTTATTGGCCGAGTGTGGGGACTTTCGTTGGATGTTTCTGCCCTTTAATACTTTACGCAGACCTCTTCGATGTGGCTGTTTTGCCTCACTTGCTGAGACCTGCCTGCCTGGTCCTGTCAATGCTCCTGAATTACGTGAATTTTGTTGTCCATAGCTCTTCCTGCCTGTAGTCCCAGCAGTGGACTATTCTACTTACCTGTGAACAAATCCAAGGATTTCATAAAAGGCTTGGTATCCATTGTTTGAATGATTCATTGAACTGGCAAATTATAATTCTCGGATTTTCTTTTGAATTTATCTCAACTCTGTGTGTGATGGGGCTATGACTAAAAAGGTTGGGCTTTAGGTTGTAGAACTTAGTTTGATTACATTGTTCCTCATCTGTGTTCTGCTAAAGCTACATTATTAATAATAAATTGTTAATTTTTACTTGTGATATAAACTTGGCATCTAAGATCTGTTGTTCATAAAGTCTGCAATTTTTAAGGCAATTTTGAGGGTCATTGAATGTTTTGGTTTCACTCTGTTGTGACTCCAGTGATAAGCTGATTTGGTATGACTTGCTATCCCTGTGGCATTAACTTTAGAGGGGGCTTGGGATATTGGAACATAGATACTGTAGTTCTAGAATTGGATTTTTGTACACCCTACAGCTGGTATTTTGACGTCAAGTTTATATATAGACTTTAGCAATTTCTAGTGCAATCTTAAGATCCTTTGCACAAGTGTCAAAAGTTGCGCTCATATTTTTATGGGTCACAACTTAATCTAAACTAACAGAGTTAGCCAGTAGATTGAAAATAAACTTGCCACTGTGAGCTAAAAAGGCAGACATTATCAAGTTAGTATCGAAACATTTGGGTTTAATGGAAATATCAGAGATTCCATATAGCTATAGAAACATAGTCAATAGAAGCAAGAGTAGGCCACTCGGCCCTTCAGATAGTACAAGGGATGAATCAGTGAGTCATGAGTTTCAGTTAAAGGAATTGAAAATGAGAAATTGGAAATGGAATTCTAAAGGGAGGGAAGAGAGAATTCCAAAGAGCATTTGAACTTAGAAAACCGGAATTAGGGAAGCATGAGAGAGATAAGGAAGAGAAAACAAAAGAAAGGGAATTTAAATTACAAATTATGCAGCTGGGGCAAGCTAGACCAGACACTTTAGAGAGCTTAGAAGAGGAAAGGCCTAGTCATAATCTGCAGATCATTCAGGAGATATTTAAAGTTAAGAACAAAAACAGTTCTGAGGAAGGGTCACTGGACCCAAAACGTTAACTCTGATTCTTTCTTCACAGATGTTGCCAGACCTGCTGAGCTTTTCCACCAACTTCTGTTTTTGTTCCTGATTTACAGCATCTGCAGTTCTTTCAGTTGACATTTAAAGTTATGCAGGCTTTACCAAAATTTGAAGAGAAAGATGTGGAAGCATTGTTGAAATTGTTTAATAAAGTGGCAGCCCAAATGTAGTGGTCAAAAGCAGATTTGATTTGCCCATGGAAAGTAAATTATCAGTAAAGCACAAGAGATACAACCCTGTTGGAGGAAAGTTTTCAAGATTATAATAGATAAAAAGGGCCACTCCAAACTCCTGTGAATTAGTCTGGAAGCATACAAGCAGAGGTTTCAGAACTTGGGGAAACAACCTGGACAAACTTGTGTTAAGTTTAAGAGAGTTAAACAAAACCATTTTGACAGGTGGATAAGAGCATTGAAGGCTGAGAATGCTCATGATGCTTTTTTAGAATTTAAAACTTCCCTCCTTCCTGTAATAAGAACTCCAGTAGAAGACCACAAGCAAGGCAAGCAGCTATAATGGCTGATGATTGTGAACTGATCCAGAAATCTTTATTCCATCACCATCAGTAATTTGAGGAAAAAAGAAAGTGGGAGAGAGAAAGGAAGACAGGTAGCCAGGGTGGTAACTGAACAGTAGGAAATACCCCAAGCACTCCTCCTCAGACCAGAGAGGTGAGGATGGAGGCAAGGTTTGGAAACTTAAATGTTTCTATTGTAATAAGTTGGGACATAGAGTCGTAGAGTCCTGCAGCATGGAGACAGGCCCTTCAATCCAAACTGGTCTATGCTGACCAAAATGTGCGTCCATGCTAACCCTGTTTCCCATATCTTTCTAAACTTTTCCTATCCATGTATTCGTCCAAATGCTTTTTAAATGTTGTTAATGTACCCACCTCAACCACATCCACTGGCATCTCATTCCATATGTGTACCATCCTCTGTGTAAAAAAGGTTGCCCCTCAGATTTGCTCTTTTCCCTCTTATGTTAAACTGATGCCCTCTGGTCTTCAATTCCCTAACCCTGGGAAAAAGACAGAGTGCATTCACCCTATTCATGCCTCTCATGATCTTATACACTTCTATAAGGTCCCCCCTCAGTCTCCTACGCTGTAAAGAAAAAAGCCCTAGCTTGTCCAACCTTTCCCTTTAACTCAGTCCCTTGAGTCCTGGCAACTTCCTTGTAAATTTCTTCTGCACTCTTTCCAGTTCAATAACATCCTTCCTATAGTAAGGTGACCAAAACTGAACACAGTACTCCAAGTCCAGCCTTACCAGCATCCTGTACAACTGCAATATAACTTCCCAACTTCCCTACTCAATGCCCTTACTGATGAAGGCCAGCGCGCCAAAAGCTTCCTTCACTGCCCTGTCTACCCATGACTCCACTTTCAGAGAATCGTGCATCTGAACTCCAAGGTCTGTCTGTTCCACCACACTCCTTAAGGCGGTACCATTCACCATAAAACTCCTACCTTGATTTGACTTTCCAAAATGCATCACTTCACAGTTCTCTATATTAAACTCCATTTGCCATTTCCGTCGGCCCACTTCGCCAGCTGATCAAGATCCCGCTGCAATTTCTGATAACCTTCCTCCCTGTACATGATACTGTCTATTTTAGTGTCATCCGCAAACTTACTAATCACGCCTTGTACATTCTTATCCAAATCATTGATTATAGATAATAAATGGCAATGGGCCCGGCACCAACACCTGAGGCACACCACTAGTCACAGGCCTCCAATCTGACAAACATCCTTCTATTATTACTCTCTGCTTTCTCCCATCAAGTTAATTGTGTATCCAATTTGCTAGCTCTCCCTGGATTCTATGCAATCTAACCTTCCAGAACAGCCCACCATGTGGAACCTTATCAAAGGCCTTACAGAAATTGAATAGACTACATCTACTGCCCTGCCCTCATCAATCTTCCTGGTCACGTCATCAAAGAACTTTAACAAATTTGTGAGCCATGATCTCCCATGCAGGTTTTTCTTTGCAGCCCTTCTTGAATAAGGGCATAACATTCACTACCCTCCAGTCTTCCGGGACCTCACCCGTGGCTAACGATGATGCAAATATATCAGCCCAGGACCCCTGCAATTTCTTCGCTATCCTCTTCCAGGGTTCTTGGATATATCTGGTCAGGATCAGGAGTTTTATCCATCTTCATACATTCTAATATTTCCAACACCACCTCCACTGTGATATGGGCTGTCCCCAAGACATCGCCACTAACTTCCCCATGTTCTCAAGTCTGTATGTCTTTCTCCACGGTAAACACAGAGGAGAAATATTCATTGAAGACCTTGCCCATTTCCTGCAGTTCCACACATACATGTCCACTTTTGGCCTTTGAGGGGTCCTATTCTCTCTTTAGTTATTCTTTTTCCTTTAATATACTTAAGGAATCTCTTTGGATTCACCCTAATCTTCTCAGCCAAAGCTATCTAGTGCCCCCTTTCCACCTTCCTGATTTTCTTCTTCAGTAAACTCCCGTATCCCCTAAATACCTTTAGGAATCCATGTGATCCCAGCTGCCTATTCCTGAGCCATGCCTCCTTTTTTTTTCCCTGGTCAAAGCCTCAATATCTCTTGTCATCCAGGGTTCCCTACTCGTGACAACCTTGCTCTTCACCCTCACAGGAACATGTAGACCTTGAATTCTAGCAATC